GAACGCAGTGATACGCGTTCAAAGATCATCCCGAGCCTATCCTGCCGGAATATGGTAGCACCGTTATCAGGGAAAACTCGTACTATTGAGTTCCATCTGCGTTTATCGAATGGCTGGTGGGCCTGGTGTACAAAGTATATACCGCTTCTATAATTTTTGCTTCTGTATTTTCTTCTCATTTTTACGTGATTGCCGATCAAGCCGCGCCCTCTCCTGCCGCACGCTTGCGTGTCCACAATTGGCACTCCGCCCACGAGGCTCATTCCTTTCTCCTCTCCTCTCGTACACTCCCTCTTCCTCTGCGCCAGTATCCCTCAATGTTAGTCGTAGTGCAGGATTCAGACACCGGTAAACTTTTAGGGGTCCCCACCGTACCGTATACGGTTACGGCCGTAAGAATTACGGTGTTTACGGCGTCAATCCTACCGTAACCGTAACCGTAAGGACTTTTCCAGAGGGCTTTACGGTACGGTACGGTGATTTTACGGTCCTTACGGGTGACTTACGGCCGTAAAAAGGAACAAAAATTCCCAACGTGAAACAAGACACAAGCTGAGGGTCCGAGTGATATTTACGATCTCTGGATCGCTATGAAAGAAGCTCCCTTACCGCCGTGGATTTTTACTGAGCTCAGCTTTGAATTTCGGGCATCTCGGCCGTGTTTGTGTCAATTTATACGGGCTTGCGGAGTCAGAGTGTGGTCTGGTTTCCAACCTCTGATACTTCAACTTGCTCAAACACAATACTTTAGCTGTGATCTTCCATAGAGCTACATTATAAACTTGCGGACAGTTGGGATCCCATCGGATTGTGCCATCAATTTGCTATAACCCATTGTGTTGTCTTTGTGAAGTTGGTTGCATTCAAGTTGCATTCAAGTTGCATCTCAATGGCCTCTTGGGACAGCGAGAGTTCTGTTGAATGTTTTCTGGATTCATTGGTGGAATATTTGTCCCCCAATTTCTGGTTTCAGTCTCGAGTCTGACAACCTTACCTTTACGTCGCGATTCGAACTTGTGTACGTTGCCAAATGTCGTGATGTTCAATATTGGAATCCTACAGGGCTCGTAACAGTTGATTCGAACGCCAGCGTCGTCCCTGAGGCTCCCGCAGACGTACTCGGGTTGCGTCAGTTGGCTGCTAATTTACGGTCCGTAAAGCACCGTATACGGCCGTAATCTTACGGTGTTTACGGTGTCGTGCTCGACCGGAACCGTAACCGTAAAGCCTGCAGCCCAGGGCCTTACGGTACGGCTACGGCGACCGTAAAGCCGTAACCGTAAACCGTAATTACGGCTACGGTGGGGAGCCCTAGTACTAAACTTTATCCCTTACGAAGTCTGGGGTACGTCTTATGTTCCGATTTTGAATTCCTCTCATCTGGTGTGCAGTCTGTCGGCGCTAGCTGCTGGTACTTTCTTCGGAGCCCAAGGTATGGTAGCCGGAGGTATCCCACATGCTGTAGTGGGTGCATGGCAAGCATCTGCGGTGCGTTTCCAACATGATCACATATTCACCGACCCCACAGCTCAACTAATCCCCGTTAGGGAGGCCGGGCCCGCGCTGCAGCTATGGGACTGCGATCTGGCGCAGTGGGACTTGGACTGCCCTTCGGCGCCATGGGAGTCGCCGCGGCCCTCTTCGATGGTGCAGTCGATGTTGCCGGCGTGGACCCCACTTCCGACGCCGCATATTGGGCACGAACCCTCTCCTCTTTGCCCGTGGGCGGCATTGGCATCTATGCTGTCCACAAGATCCCAAACCGACCTCCAATGGCTCCAATGACCGTGGCGGCTTCCGCCATCCTCGCGAGTATCCTCCTCGGATTTACAACGGCGGCTGCAAAACATCGCCTGCGGCAAGTAAATCCTTTGCTCCGGAGGAGGCCTCTAACACGGAATAAAATTCATGACAGTGCGACTCAGTCCAAAGATGCTTGAGGTCCATCAAACGTTCCTACGTCCTCGCACTCTGTAGTCTGTATCATGTAACAAATGCAACCCAACTCATCACCTGCTCATTACACTGGCGATAGCATTCCCATATCGCCCACCAACTGACAAGTTTGCCTGTTCGATGCGCGAGAGTAAGAGAAAGGGATATGCCTTCGCTCTGTGATTCGGATTCATGCGTAAATGATATAAAGACATCAAGGATAGATTAAAGGCAGGATGCAAATCAACCCAAAATCAACCAGCAAAGTATCTCGCTACAGCCAACTCAGGACCGGGACCCAACATGGTTCTTGCCGAGGCTGAAAATGCATCGAGATCATCAGCGACAGCTTCATCCGGGACGCGTTTCCTCGAGCCGAACGTGACGTCGAATCGGATATTGGCAACTGCAGGCAACATTGCCAGCCACGGCAGAATTGACAGGGCTTCTGCTAGGTCGCCGTATACAACCACCCAATGTACACAGTGTAATGCTCCTGCAACATCGGAGAACTCTTCGACCGGGAAAGTGCCACAACGGGGGTTAATCCGTACGAGTATGGCATTAGTGCGAAGTGAAAGATGTCGGAGATCGGAGGCGAAGCCCAATAAATTGGCCGGTGAGAGGAAGGCGGCCGTTGTGGAAGAGCTAGTAAGCCGGAGTGCGGGTTCTTCAATAGGGTCGGTGGCCGGCCGTATGTAGGATAAATGTGATAAAATATTGAGTGGGATAATGAGTCTGCGCGTAGGGTATGAAAGTCGTGACTGAGGAGAGTGTCGATAGGTCGTAAAAAGTGGCTTGGGTCAGACTCCGAGTGAATCTGCGAAGACGAGGGGCTTGGCGCGCCGAGTGCGCACCACGAAGGTCACGTAGTTCGAGTTTTGAGACGAGGAAGGCACGGGGTCCGGCCGCTGGACCACACTGGCTCGCACGATGAGCGTCAGAAGCAAGAGGATGATCATTTGGCGCTGTGGGCGCGTATTTACGGTACAAACATTGATGTAGCTAAAAATAATGAGGCAGCTGCTTTAGAACCGAAACCAACCTGTGGTTGGATTTCCACAGGTCGGCCATACGGCTCTGCCACACCGTCATCGAAAAGCAGACAATTCGGAGATTTGGGGAATGGATTAACGCGGGAAGCAAGCGCCCAGTGGAGTCCGTGGACGCTTTCCCATCGAAATTCATATCCAGAGAGATGAGACTGGGATGCACAAGAGGGGGATCCACCGCAGGACGAGGAAGCAGTTCGTCACTGCGTCCACGGTATTCGATCTGTTCAATCGTGGGATGGTTAAACAGGAACCATCCCAACGCGGTAGGGTGCATGCTGTCGTCATCCAGTTCAAATTCGCGGAGGCAGGGCAGTCTGACCCGGTCGATCACCGGATTGAGATAGTCCGCGGGCACGCCTTCTTGTCCATCAAGGTAGCGAGATTTGAGGGCGAGTCTAGTAATGAGCTGGGTATTGAACACGAGGAGTGTGGAGGATCTCCACGGAGAATAAGATGGGATCGACATGAGGTGAACAGAAAGCAGGACGGAAGGTGCTTGAACCCCGTACTTCAGCTTTTTGCCGGTGTGCAATCGTATATGTGCCGAGCGATTGAAGGAGGACTTCGGGATTTCCTCTTCGCGCAGCCTGAGTATATGTCGCGCTCGCGACCGCAGTTTTCGCGCCTTGGTAAGATTGAATTGAGCCGCGTATAATCCCCAGCCGAGGACGTCCGTAGGCATACAGCTGTATATCTGCGCAGAATTATCATCCGCGGACAATATAACCACAGGACCTGTGACACGGCTTGCCATTGAAGCGATGATGGAGCATAAGATGCAGGTGAGCTCTTGCCGCGACAATGGCGAAGGGTACACGGGGCAACGTAGCAAGTCTTCGTGGAAGTGCATATCAAGGACCTGGAGAGCAGCACAGCGCGGAATCATGTCGCCCCACAGTCGCAGGTCCCTCGCAATGCATCCCGAGCCGAAAAAGCATGTCAATGCTTTCACCTGGAAAGGGCGGAAAGAAAGATGCATGGCAGCCAGGATCCATATTTGTGGACGCGCAGCGCAGAGGATCGAATGCAAAAAGCGATACTCCATTTCGATTATTTCGGATGCGGGGGGTCGAACCCTGGACTGCGTGACGCGCTCTGGGTGCACCGTGCACCACACTCGACAATCGTTCAACAACCAGATTTATCCTGTAATGAGTGACTTGAGATTGCTTTGAGCGGGAATAAGTACTGTCGGACGGTCAAGGAATCGAGATCTGTACAGGTCTGCTCAATTAAAACGACGACGGGAGCACAAGAACTCACGAATTCATCTAGTAATTACTAATTCGGATGCGGGGAGTTGAACCCCACTCGGCGAGACAGCTGTGAATCACCTCATTAGAATAGCCCTCGCTGTTTCCTACACCACCTCCGATGACTTGGCTGAGTTGTCCTACGACCTTGTAGATGGCAGTTTGAATGCAGAAACGGGCATTGACTTTAAGATGGGAGACACACCAAGGACTTGCCTCGGAGATTTGATTATATCGCTAGCACCTCCCATGACGACGGTACCCACGACGCGAGTGGACGAAAACCGTTGAGCATGCACATTGCAAAACGGGCGGCATGAAGAGCTGCGAAAAGAACGGCGAAAAAAACCCGGAACGTTCAAGTTATTCTCATTCGGATAAGGAGAGTCGAACCCCGGCTTGCGAGCTAGCATGGGATAAGAGCGCGTCCACACTTTGACTCGCGGTGCGCCGTACACCACACCCGATGCTTTCCCGTGGAATGGAGATTTGCCTGCAGCGAGCGACTCGAAGGATGGATTTAGAAAGGAGAATGTTCAATAAATTGCTCACCGTTAATCCGCGCTTTGCCTAGAGAGGTAACGTCTAGACTCCGAATCAGAGTGGAAGATGGGACTTAAGAGAGAGGAATTCGGAGTCAAAAAAAAAAGAAAGAAAACACCGCTGGCTAGCAATTGGCAGTGCACAAGGACTCACGAATGCTACGTTGAATATTCAAGCGAGTTGGAAAGAAAAAAGACTAATTTGTTCCCAGTCATTCGGATGCGGGGAGTCGAACCCCGGTTGGCGAGACAGCGGTGCATCATCATACAAGTAGCCCCCGCTGTGTTTCCTACACCACATCCGATGACCGGCGTTGCAACCTGTATGTGTGCTGGGTGGCTACAGGTAGTTTGAACGAAAAAAGCCAGGTGTTGAATTCAGAACGGGGACTTGCCTCAGATAGTTTATTGAATCGTTATACGCACAACACCGGGGGGACGAGGAACGGTAATAATGTAGAAATGCGAAAAGGGCGGCAAAAAAAACCATCCCAGAGTTATTCGGCGACGGGGAGTCGAACCCCGGCCGGCGAGACAATGTGCTCGCGGCCCGTCGTACACCACACGGGGCGGAACGGAGGGCGAAGACGAGGGAGAAGCGGGGCCTTCGTTCGCGCGCCTGTCTGATCCAGCGGCCGTGCACATCGCACGCATCGAGCCCGGGCGACAGGCGGAGGGCCTTATGAGCCTTCGCCACGACCGCCGTCGCGCCGCCCACCGCGGTGCGGGCGTAGCGGAACAGGCGCAGCAGGATCGACACGCGCGTAGTCCAGCTCGAGGATTTCCGCGATGGCGCAGAAGGCGCCGAGAAAAAACGCGCCCGGGGCGGCCCAGTCCTCTGAGGCGCATTCACACAGCGGGGTGGGGATGCCGGAGACGCGGCGGACGGTAATGAGCTGTTTTCCGCCGGCGATGTCGGAGTAGCCCTCGTCCGAAGCGTTCTTCCCTGTCGGCGCCGCGCATCTCATCTTCTCTCTGCATCTGGCCGGAGATTAGGAATCGAGGCTGATTGGGCGAAAGGCTGGTCTAGAGGGACGCGAAATCTCAAAGGAGAGGGACAGAGACCCACCCTTGAGACGCGAGGGTAGGCAGTGATTTTTTGGAATGGAGGGTGCGAGTTCCTTTGCTTTGACAGTGGCCACAGGAGTGTTAGACTGGTTCTGCAGGGAGGGCTTGGACCTGGGGGACGGAAGTGGACGCCAGTACTATAGGGAAGCCAGATGGCTCAATGGGCGGCAGTGATAGGACAAGTGCAGCCGAGACCGGCACAGCCCGCGGCACAAACAGACGGCAACGGGGACCGGCATGGGTCGGCCAACAGTTCAACCACTGGTTTGTTTTCCATTTCCTACGAGCAGCCCAGGGGCAGACAGATTGTACTCTATGCCAAACCCCCGGGAGCCCCCGTCGAGGTTATTGCAGAGGAAATCCACTGGCACGTCAGTGTCGAATTTCCGAGAAAGTTCCACCGGCGAACGCCGAATCAAGGACAGTATGATAAAGGCAGAGTAAGCGTAGGGTAAATTGAGTCGGCACTCCTAAAATTGTATCGGATGCATCTTTCATCGTGCAAAATTTTCCGTCATACCCGAGTGGAAGCGACGCGGAACTTCCCCGATTCAGGCTTCAAGTACAAATGCGGTTCAGAATAGACGAGGGGCGCGCATGGAGGAACGAGGTTCACACAAATCCCACAGCGTGGCAAAAAAATGGGAAGAATCTTTCCAGATCTGCGCGGGGTGTCGAACCCCAGTCCGCGAGCTCGAAACAGCGGTGGACAGTCTCTATTTGCGCTCGCCGTGTTCCGTACACCACACCCGACGATTCAATCCAACCCACATCCGGCGTCCCTGCGATTGAAGAGGAACGGGACCAACAAAAAAAGTACAGCCCACCACAACCATCACATTCGGGTACGGGGAGTCGAACCCCGTGTTGCGAGCCAGTGGGATCCCAAATAGCCCTCACCGTGTTCCGCAGACCACACCCGATAATTTATCCTACGACCTTGGATGTGTGGTGGGTGAATTTAGCACGATGAATGATGAATTTGGAGAGGATGGATCCGACCTTCCCGGTGTAGAGTTGATTGAACGCCCAAACCAACTCAGCGATTTGCTACTCCCAATTTCAAACCACATAACAACTTACAAGCTCAAGAATATTGTTGGATGAGCGAGGAAGCCAGAAAAGTGGAGGACTGGCAAAGGTAAAACAAGAAAGGACGAGGCCAACCGTTGATTCGGATGGGGGAGTCGAGCCCCGGTCTGCGAGCTCGAAACAGCTCTGACGTATCTGCGCACGCCGTGTTTAGTACACCACATCGGATGATTTAACTTACACTTCTCTGTGTGGTGTGGGTTTGGGCTTGATGTGGAACATCGGGTCGGCATTTACCCCCAGTATGTGCGGATGAGGACCTCCGGAAAATGAGATTGAAGGACTCCAGAGAGGGAGAGAGCGATAAATTTGTGAGTGCTCGGAATGGCATATCGGATGCACTGATAGTTGTGCTGCGATTGATTTACCTTTTTCCCGGAGCCCCCAAGTTGAGCACCTATAACCGCGCAACGAAAATGAAACAAGCAAAAAAGGGACTGTACGATACCTTGTCGGGATTCGGATGCGGGGAGTCGAACCCCAGGCTGCGAGCGCGAGACAGCTAAACACTCGTGTATTCGCGCGCGCCGTGTTTCGTACACCACATCCGATGATTTGATGGGCCGCAGCGTTTGTGTCGCACGCAGCATTGAAAGGTCAGCTAGGAGGGAAAAGAGCACGAGTGAATTCAACTGGATGTTTACCTGCTGTGTGAGTAGATAAGGAAGGTGACTCGATATGGCTTCCTTGCTCTTCCTTCCTTCGTTCTACAATCGACGTAGTCTGTAGTTAACCGCGCCACCGTGCAAGGGTGGCGGCAGTATTAGTAATCATCGGAGTTTCAATCATGTTCCCACGGCCTTTCCCCCCACGCCGCCATTGCTCCTCCGCTTTCCTTGCCTTCCCTCCCTTCATTTCGGCCATGATGGCGCTCCAGCTCATCTAGAGTCATCCCTATTGCGATTCGGCCCTCATCAGGACTGTGATAGAGCAAATACCGCCACCAGAAGACCGCCTTATTCCGCGCACCCAAAGCTGATCCTTCACGACGGATTGCGCGATGGAAAGCTACTTTGCTCCATGGCCGCCCAAAATTTTGTACCTAAAATCCGAAGGCGACCCTTGGAATGTCGTCTGCGTCAATCCTGGACGCGCAGGTTACAAAACGGCGGCGAAGTCAGCGTGTCCGACATGTCTCGCGCAAACATGGGAAATGGTGCGCCGAGGCGCCTCGTCCTGCCTTTCTGCAAATGCTATCCCCCCGCTCGCAGTCTTTACGACGTTGAATTCGGCCAGAAAAGTCAGTGCAGGCAGGGGGGAGTTACCAGCTACGTACCGTCGTCTGTCTCCCTCTAGTTTTGGTCCTTGCGCCCGTTAATCCCATCCATTCTAGGTTCATTCTGCCTTCCGCGAGCCTTCAAGTGTTGCGGCGCGCAGAAGTGTGTCTGCTCTCGCAGTCCGATGGGCCCCAACGCGACTCACGAAGGGGTGGCGCTCGTGGCGAACTCTGTCGCATGGCGCTGCGGTGACGGCTTAATTATGCAGCCGCACGCGCGCGCTTTTTCATGCTATAATCGCCGCGCAGGAGCTGCCTCGCATGGTGCAGACCTAGTCGTGGCTGCGCCCGATCCGAAACACGGCGATGGGTGCGCAAGCTGTCCCGCGTTCTTTCCTCTCATGATTGACGCGCCAATTCTGCCCTACGCACCGACGTGTGCACGCCCGATGCCCACCAACACGAAACGATCATGATGGGCTCATTTTCTTGCGCACACGAGACGTCGACACTCGATGCTACGCCGAGCCGTCCCCCGTGCGCTGTTGGACTTTGCTCAGATGGACCGCGAGCGAGGACCTGTCACGCGCGTCGACCGTCGAATCCCGAACGTATGTTTGCACGGAAGTATACTGTGCGAAGTCCTCCATCTCCTTCCTTCCTCTCCCCGACTCTCCGGCAAGAAACAACGAGTGGGGACCGTAGTGTACTTTTCGATACTTATCTTGTTGGTTTTGATGTCCCCCATATGGCTATGCAATGCAGTTATTACACTATGCATCGACGGCGGAACACAATCATCTGGAGTACAAGGAGATAATACGGTCCAGTCGGAAGTGAACGAAGGTGAACGGCTGAAATGGAGTGTGTAGACCATCAAAAAAAATGCACGTCGGCCCTTTTGAAAAGAATCTCACCCGTTCTCCCAGGCAGTGTCTGGGGAGATTATGCGCGTCATTATACGCGCCGCAGAGGCTCGAGGAGCTGCGAGAGTCGGAGGAAACGCGAGAAGACGCGTCGAATAAGCGTGGGAACAGTTTGAAACTCCGATCATTACTAATACTGCCGCGACCGAACACCGCATCGACCTTAATGACAGACTACAACATGCGAGGTACGAGCACAGATATGTTGTAGCGTCTGTTTAGAAGAGACTACAATCGACGAGGACCCAGGGAGAAAAAAACGCATGGCAGAAAGCCCTACTCGGATGCCGGGAATCGAACCCCGACTACGAGATACCCTTCACTTGACCTCGGGCTCACGGTGTTCCGTACACCACATCCGATGATTTACCACAGATCTTTCTCTTCCTGGTGCGGAAGTGCGCGTACATGGCTCCAGTATCCTCGCTGACATCAGGGATTCCTGATTGTCATGCCGTGAGCCGAAACGAAGGGGGAAAAAGAATACAAAGGACGAGGGGATACTTTCTTATATATTCGGAGTGGCGTCAAACCCCGTTGTACGCCCATAATTGTTCTTGTTTGGCTTCAAGTGAACGCGCGACCGATCACGTGGGGTTAACCACATCAATCAATGACATGTCCTAACACAAGCAAATCATTCCTTGCGCTCGACACCCATCTCACCTCCATCTTTTAGTTGCAGGTTCGTCGTGGTTATAGGTCTGACCGTATGTCTTCGATCCATAACCTTTCATCCAGTAACTGTCGGCATCGGGGCACCAAATTTTCAGCTGCATCAAACCCTGTATCACAAGTCCTTTAGCCATGGCGGACGGCGCGGATTCTCTATGCATTTGCTCAAAGCCGGCCACAAATCGCTGTTCTGCGTGCAAAACTGGTCGGTTTTTGCGGTGCCACTCCATCTCGCAGTGCCACTTCATTATTTTATTCCGACTGATGCCTGTAATTCCAGTGGGGTATTGCTCCCAAGAATGCCAGCGGCGTGCGTGTTCATACATGC